AGTTAAGATTCTTCCAGGAAGGTTGCACATATGTTGACAGTGTATATCACATATAGAATGTTATACTTTTGCGTTACTGATGTATAAACTTTATAATTTGTCAAAAGCTGGGAATTATTTAAAGACAATGCAAATTAGAACAGCATCCAATATTATAGCGTTACCATTGTTTGTGTATATAATGAGGTGAGTGGAAAGCAAGCATGGTCTACCACTGTTTAATAGTAGGTAACCTTACTTTTTTGGCGACTGCTTGTGAACTCTACATTTATGAGTACAATATAAAGTATTCCATCCACAGTGTGGGGTTGTTTTCGTTCCTCTGAACCTTTAAAGCACAATCTCTAATCGAGATCCTCCTTCCCCAGACACAGCTTTGATCTCTTCCTGTGGGACCTGTTTGTGCCACTAAGGATTCTCTGATAAGCCTTACAACCAGGCAGCAATTACACTACTAATTACACAAGTATAAAACCCTGACCTTGCACTTAATATACCTGCCTCTGTGCTGTGTCGCTGAATTCCACTTCTACCGACAACTTGCACGCAAACAAAAATAGAAACAGACTGTAAGCACAAATGAAAAACACCGAAGAGTCTTTATGCACAGACGGCATAGCTGCTGCCGAGTTACGGGGTGTACCTTCCCAGCAGCCGGTGTAGGGGTGTGATCTCACAAGGTGAGCGGATGCTGGAGGAGAAAGCTGCCTTGCGGTCAGTTGGGAGGCAGCGGGCCTCAGGGAAAAGCTCTTAACTTCTGTCAGGCACAAATAACCACGCCATTTTTCACCCTGTGATTTTTAACTGAGAAAATGATTCCAGTCCCCAGTCATATGAACTCTATGCACATGCCATGAGTCAATTCTAGCTCTGATAGAAAGGAGTTCAGCTAAGCTGCCAATCTTTATTTCTTGCGCAGTTCAGTGTTTTAGGGTACTTGGCATAATACACCCATCTAGACGGCATGAATGCATTATCGTGTAACTGACTGGGCATGAAAAAGTGCAGTGTGACACATCTGACTGTCTTGATTTTATGCCTTTGTGACCAAGAAGCATGCTGTAAGACTGTTTATGAAAAATAAATATCAAATGTCACATGTACAAATCCTATCAAGAATTATTGGAAATCTCAATGTCACTGAAGTCTTAATGTGGAGAAAAGCAGAGGCTGGGTAGTGAATTACATTTTATTGTCAACCCTGAAAAAAATAGAAGAAATAATAGATGGAAGTTCAGAGTTAAAGCGGTTATTCAGTAGGTGGAAAGTTTTCCCTTTACAAAGAACGCGTTAGAAACCTTAAGCTGAGTGTGGATACCGTGATGTGATTTACTGTGGTCAACATGCTGCTAGGTGGTGCTAGTGGCGCTGCTTCTGAGGGAGAGATTACACTCCGAGGAAGCAACACTGTTAGATTCACCTGCATTTGCCAAAACCCTAAAAGTGTGAAGCCATCTCGGACTGAGCTATATCGCCTTTCGGATTTTATATTCCAAGTGTGCACTATGTGTATGTACTGTAGAAAATACTGTACTTCCTGTGTTTGCTGAAATAACAGCAATGACTTTTTATCTGCCTCCCAGGCTTGCACTTATGAGGCACTGATTCTTAAAGTGAGAATATATGAGAGCGTGTGCCCCCGTACTCGAGTATATTGCCACACATCAGATCATTTAACACTTTGAACTGTCAGAAATGTGTCACTCAGTCTCTCTCTTGATACCTTCATCTGTCAGACTGAAATCATAAATACAATCATTTCCCCAATGTTGGCTCTTTATTCTGTCAACCGTTTCAAAATGTGACTGTGCCTCTTCATTTCCGACCCATGAATAAGTGAGAGGCCATTAATATGTCTCTTTCATTACACTCTGGCACTGCACTGCATGAGCATGCACAGAACTGCGTGTTCACTGGGCTCTGGTTCTGATGTCCGATTTGTAAGGCAACAAAGAAATGTCACCATGTCTGGATGGGGAGAAGTGTCTTTCCGAGAATTCATATTTTGTTCCTGTTTAAATAAACGAGAGCAAGAAAAGGAGTCGCTTTCGCATAGTAAACTAAATGTGTTCTGGTTTAAATCATGAGAAATTTTCTGCATCTCTTTTAGTGAATTACTATCTTGGAAATAGACACTAAATTATCTTTTTCTGGAGAAAAAATAAATAAATTGTGATCAATCATAGACTAACATATCACCTTCACCCTTAGTGTTAAACAGACTTTACAGCATTGTGAAGAGCTTGTTTGTGCTCAGATTTTGTTTGCCGTTTTTTCTCCTTTTCTTCGCACCTTTTTGTCTACAGATCACCCTGTGGTTTGACAAACACATTTTTTTCTTCCTTTCTATCGCCACTCCCAAGACAAGATTAGAGGGGAAACTCATCAGTCTCCTTGGCTGTTGTCTGATAAACTTTTTATTTGAAGGGTGTCCTGTCTCATGTCTCTGGTGTCTTCCTCCAGTGCACTCCTGATTTGAAATATAGCCTTACATAATGAGGGAGAAAAATAGAGCGGTGTTGCACCCCTGAGCCAATGTCAGCTTAATCAATCATCTGATCACGGCAGGCATGCTTACTCTACTCGCTTCACATCCGCCACATCCTTCCCCCTGTTCAACGATGTGACAGCAGCATAATTCATTTTAACTCAAAAATTAAAGCAGCAACATCAAGCTTGTCCTTGCATCTGTTTGGTCTAAACACACGGCGGTGCTGGTCTTGGTGAGCGCTTTTGCCGCTTTTGTTTGTGTAGCAAAGTCGATGCTTTCCTTTGCACGCGTGCTTATCGGAGGAGTGTTTGCATGTACTTGTGTACAGTGTGCAGTTTACCGGGGTTGCCTTTGCGTGCACATGCCAGGATGTATTTCGCAGATGTGACATTCGTACATTTTTCAGATGTAACATTTTGAGTGTGTTTACGTCTCAAGCTCAAGTTTCTTTGCTACAGCGCTGAGCATTCAACAGGCGTGGAATGCGAGTGCGGGGTTCACGCGGTCAAATTGCACCAGGTCAGAAGGTCGGGGAAATTTGGAGAAGCTAAAGCTGAGCAGAAGGAATGGAACTTGGCCTCTTCGCTTGGCAGTGAGAGATTCCTTCTGGCTTTCTGTCAAAAAGTCGGCATTCAGCAAAGCATAACTCCAAAAGTTATATCACGCTCTTGTTGCTGAGTTACGTGCAGGAGTGTTGTAATAAAAACATGAAAACTGACTCTTTTTGACAAAGTACCCCATGTTATTAGTCCACACTTAAAATGCTGCATATTTTAGTATGTCTCGTAGCATTGATCTGTAGTTTTGCATGGATTAAACACCTTTCTTTATTATGTGTTCTAAAATTGGATACAGCTTAATTACAAATTAGAAACAGCATAAATCATATTTACATATGCGGATTCTTTCACGTTTTTCCCCCCCAAGGCTTTGTTTGTCACTATTCACCTTCACGTTAATAAAGTTTGTGCGATACTCTCAAAAGCTGCACTTAATGCTACATTTTCCCTAAGTCACTACAGCCAAACGGCAAATCTGACATCATGACAGAAGGAAGTCACATTTGGCCCGTTGAAGCTAAATAAAGAACTCAATAGAGACACATCATAGCCTTTTTTTATTGCCCTGCATCATATTATCAGCCTCATCGTTATTGTATTAATAGAATAATAATACATAAGAAACAAGCAGCTCTGCCAGCTTTCCTTTATCATAAACTAGAGTGCACTGTAATCAAAAATCAGTGAGAGCCACATCATGCTTCATTTAAGCTATTTAGAGAAAATGTTAACCGTATAAGACAGTATAAATTAGAATAAAACTACACTACTACAAAGCAACAGCTACTTAGTTACCATACTGTGTGGTGTCAGAAGCCTAGTTAACCAGTATGCACTGAAGCTCATCTGTATGAAGGCAAATGTTCAGGACAGTATAAATATATGTATTACAGAAATATGTGTAATGTCGTTGGGTATTTGGCAACACGCAGCCTAACTCTGCTGAGACAGCGAGACCATGTCAAAGTCCACGTGCGCCGCTTTTAAGGGGCGGAGTTCAGTCTCGCAGCTTGCCCGCTGATCACATGCAGGAAGCATGGAGTTTGTAATTTGTGCGCAAAAAAAAAGCGGGATACGGACGGCGGTCGGCTGAGTGACGTTTGAAGGCAGCCATGCACGGCGCTGCAGCTTCACGCACATTCTGTCAATCCGCTCTTTTATCACGCACGGCGAAGACACGCAGCTTATTCTGCCAGTGACGGGAAGAGCTCAAGCAGTAGTCATAATAGGCGAAGCACGCTCCTCCCACCGGATGGTGGAGATGATGATGATGATGATGATGATTATGTTAATTGTGATGATGTTGATGAAAATAATGAAGAGTGTTCTGATTATCCCCGCTTGAATGCTTGGACGTTAAAGTTGAATACTTGGCTGAGAGCAGCCGACAGACTCCTATATGCTTATGGCTGGCAAGCCCAGTGAAGGAATTTGAAGTGAATATTCCCTGCACCCCTACAGCTTTTGGCTGACGTTAGAGAGAAGAGAGATGGGTAATATGGCGATAATTATAAAAGTTCCATATTTAACAGGGATTTTTTTTTAAATTAAAGCAAAAATAAAATAACAACCCCAAGAATAAAGTGTTTTCCTAAAATTATATTGATTATTTTTAGATCGACAGCCTAAAAGAAATAGATTATGTAGCTACAGGCGCAGTTGCGTGCACAAGGATGCATTTTTGGCCACACTGTGCAGTTTTGCAGTTTATAATTCATAGTATTCTATCCCGGTTTTCTTATTTTGCATATAAGCAAATGCAGAGATGTAAAAAATCTTTGGAAATGGTTAGACAGTAATAGAAAATCGATATTACCATGCAAAACTGCGCGGGGTCGATCAGCGTGGATTACTTTCAGGCCTACATCTATTCTTCGACTATTGACAACCTCTCCCTTTCCAGTTTGCATGACTGGAGCTCTCACTAGCGCTGCTAGTGGACAATCAAACCTACACACCCACCTCCAGACACACTCGCATTTCTCATTTCTTACTTCTAAATTAGATAGCGAGACGTGGTGTCGGAGCTCACAGGTCGCATAGAATTAGTTTGAAGTATCAGCGGTAGTTAAACAATAAATCTGAAATTCAACATGGAGTCCCCTCCAGATCCAGCGAGCGACCCGGGCAACAGCGCCTCGGAGCCGGCTACCCCGGTCAGGGAAACCCCGGTAAACCTGGAGACGCTCCGGAAAGCGGACCATCCAGCCCCGGTTCGAAGGCAGACCTGTTCCAGCACCAACAGAGGTAAGCGAACCGATTTCCCCCTTTTCACTTGATGAGAAATACGGAGCGATCGGGGACATTTTCATCAAACTTCAAAAATGAATTAAATCGCGTCCCCCTTGAATAACTGCACACTGTCTAAAAATCACCCAACCACAGGTACACAGCTTTTTATTTATTTTTTATTTAGTACCACAGCGGCGATTACCCACTTGGTCGTAATGAGTGCTTCGGTGTGGGATCCTGGTGTTTAGGCTCTGCTGACAGCTCAAATCATAGGGGGTGATACGGTCACAGATGTCACATTTACTCTGACTGCAAGATTAATCAATTATCCAGGAACCCGGAGTTGACCAACGGGACCTTCTCCTCGTGCCAAAACGGGCTAACGTGCTCGCTCTAACGCGATATTGTCACAGAGTCGAAAGTGAACTTTGGGAAACTGTGGGTTAGTTTATCGATTAGTGCTATTCGCCTTCGCACAGACGTGTCCTCCACAGTGCCTTATACAACACACTGTACCGTCTGGATGGATTTTTCCCCCTTTTTTACATTTCCAGCTAACAGATTTGCGCTATTCCTGTGTGGAAAAAGACGCCCCAGCAGCTGGAATTTGTTTAATGCCAGCAAACAGTGTTGCAAGCATTGGAGGCTTCTGCACGCCTTTTGCGATTAAGCCCCCTCCCTTCAATACGAACAGACAATGAAAGCCAAACGAGCCCTACATTGCAATTAGCCCGTCAAAACGTCTGCATTGCTGCATGAGGACTGTTTCTTTTTTACACGATTTATCCATCACGTCCCGTCCATGTTGTACAGTACAAGACAGTATTTAACCACACCCCCTCTCGGCTGTATCCAGCACAGGCTAACCGGGCTCACCCAAGTTCAAAGAAATAGTGCTTTCTCTGCTGATTCCTGACAAGCAGAGTTGGTGTGGATACATGGCAGCGAAGCGACCGGTGTAGATGTGACATTCATTCATTGAACGACGTTTTCTTTTTTCTTTTTTGTGAGCGCACTCTTCCTGTGCGCAAGGGTATATTTAGAGTGTGATATGGTGATTGTGGAATGTAAGCTGGTTATGTAACAGGTTTAGCCATAAACAGAGGCGCGCAACTGAGAGCAGAAATCATCATCTTAGATCTTTTCACTTTATAAAGTGGTTACCCCCCCTTACTCCTCGTTATCACCGCGCTTGTTTTATATAGAAAAAACAGCCCAGTTCAGCGACTATTTATATGTATTTACCGCTCAAGCGAAACTGTGTGACTTTGTGGGCTGGCACAGCCTGCGCGCTTATGTAATAGCGGGGCAAAGACAGGTAGTTGGGAGGCTTCGTGGATTGATTTCTTTTTTCACAAGTCTGACTTTGAGACACTCCTAACCTGCTGACCCATATTCACCCCACCCTTTTATGCACAGGATTAAAGTGCGTCTGGGAAAGAGAAAGACAGGAAAAAGAACGCCTTTGGTCTGTTATGTAATGCTGAATGGGTGAAAAAAATGTCTTCACTGGGGCAATCTCTGCACTTTGAAAGGAGGTTCTCAGCACGGAAACTTTATTTTGGCCTTTATACAAAGAAAACAGATTATCGTTGGATATTATTTAGCATAGGAGGGCTTAAAGAAAACTTTTGAGAACTTTTCAAAAACTTATTGCAAGTAAATATTTGTCTGACATCGCTTATGGTTAAATTTCTGGAATTATTTTCTCATGTTTAACTGTGTAGTTCAAATCCTGTTTTGTATTTTAGCCTTTCATACAGGTGGGAAAAGCATTAGAAACTTTAACTCCACTCTGTTACGGTCAGTCGTCTAACCTTTAGAACATTAATAAATATTACAGTGAGATGACAACGTATTGTAATGCTACAAAGGAAGGCCACTGGTTGTTTTAAAAGACCCCCAAGCTGAGGTCACGATGGAGATGTCTTATAAATGTAATAATCTAGAAATATTTACAGCATTCATCATGCAGGAGAGCAGAAGAAAAGCTTGCTTTCATAAAGATATTATGCCATAATTGCTTTATTCAATTGAAAGTACACATGTTCTATTAAGGAGAAGCTGCAGCCGGGTTATTGCGTAGGCAGAGTTGATTGTAGGGTTGCTTAAAAAAAATAAAACAATAAAAAAGGAGAAAAAAAGAAACAGTAAAAAAATATTTATAGTTCACAGCAGTGTTACAGACTTCTGAAACATTTTTTAGGATTACGCTTCCACGCTCAGACTCTGGCTTTTTAGGCCAGGCACGGAAACCAACATCTGAAAGGCGGCAGACACTCGCTTAAGCGCAGTTTCCCTCTTTACAGCAGCTGTATTAGACTTTCTGAGGATGCACATTGCTTATCCTGCATGCAGAGCGTTTACTGTTTTAACCCTGAATGCTAATACCTTATAAGTAGAAACGGCTTACTTCAGCAGAAGCTCTGCTGTAAGACTTGAGTGGGTCAGAGAACAGGCCTTGAAGGGCTTTTGGTATATCATTACTGGAAAGAAGAAAGGGTGTTATTTTCATATTGCAAGATCTCTCCGTTCACAAATTTGGAAACAATCAATATTAATGGCTTAGTTATGTAAGGTGACGGTCTCTGCAGAGGTTTGAAATCTCACAGTTGCACAGGGAAGCACCGAAGCCGCGCGTGTGATGAGAGACCTGGTGTTTGCATCCGCATTTAACATTAGTTTGTTCGACTGCTGAAAATGTGCGTGCTTCCTAGAAGTGTGGAATTAGACTCCACCGAATGATGCTGATTGATATGCTTGTCTTCTTGTGCTGCGCTATCATTGTCATGTATGCAGACTGTGAGTCATCTGAAAATCATTTTCCTTCGTTAGGGAGTAAGAGGTTACTCATAAAGTACAAATAACATTATGTTGGTTTAGAACAGCGTAATCTGTCACTAGGTGAAGTGTGATGTGGTTCCCTGTGGTGGAGAATATTACAGAGCCTCCTGCTTATTAGTTTGCCTCCGTCTCATATCTCGATTAATTCTGATATGATTTTTTTTTTAGCCTGAATAACAGCTTTCTTCCTATTGTTTCACTACATCTAGCGTTATTGTAGTTTTTCCCACCACACATTTTTGTTTCCATAAAATAAAAAAAGTAACCTGTTCTTCAGGTTTCAGTGTAGAGAAGTCTTAACATACAGTGCAGCATATTGCGTGATCCAGTCTAACGGAGGAGAGTTTAAACATTGTCACTCATCTCTTAATGAACACGTAGCCACAATTTACTCAGAGGTTTTATTTGTGGGGAGTGAAACGAGAGCTCTCAGCTAGACAGCCAGCATTTATTTAGTCGTTGTTGAAAGAGGACGGATGAGGTACAGCAGCATAGAGTTTTAACTTTTTGCACTAAATCTCAGAAAGCTGGCAGTTGGCTGAGGTTAGCGCGCCTCTCGAATGGACAGCGGCATTTCTGTGGCCGTGGCATTCTCAGATTCAGTGAATGAGGGCACTCTGCCCGCTGGAGAGCGTGAAGGTACAGGTATAGGCTTATAACTTGGACAGCTTGGACAGATCCAGGAGTGGAACTCCATTATGTGTCCTTTTTTTCTGGCTGGCTGGCTATAACATAATATCAAATCTGAGTCCTCTTGCGTTTTCAATTCTGAAATGTGGGTGAGGTAATGATATCATGAACTGTTTTATTGCTACCCATCAGACACTTAACATCGTTAAATGTTAACAGTCAGTCTTTCTTCAACCATACACCGAGCTGTTGCATAGATGGTGACAACTGTTTCTCGTTTTGACTTTGGCACTAGAGCTGTTGGGCCCCCCGATCTTCTGTTCTTATGAGCTTCAAAGGTCAAACATTATTTCAGTTGCATCATGCTTATCTAGGCAGTGTACCTGTGAATATCAGCATAATGTTAGAGTTAGTAGTTGATGAGCATTGATTGAAATATTGCCAGGCAAGATGTGAAGCTTTTTTTTTCTTGCTGTCATTTCAAAATATGAAATTAGCAGCACAGTGGCTCAGTGGTTACTACTGTTACTTCACAGCAGTGATGTGTGTGGTGACTTTCACAGAAAGGCGAGTATAGATGATGACAGGAAGAAACATGCTTAACAAAACACATTAGATGAGATTAAAACAGATCTTTTTATGATTTTGTACTGCCTGTCTTTTATTCTTTTATATAAACTGACAACCTCCTGCAGCTTTCTGTACTCTGCACGGACACGTCTTAACCTTTCGGCAGTTGTTTCTGGATGAAGAATTATTTTAAAAATGTACTTTAGTATTTACCATCAAAAGATTTAGCATTAGCTGACAATTACAAGTACTGGAGGAATTGTTTAGTAAAATTATACTGCACTATGAAAATACCCAACTCCTTGTCTAAGGAGCTTGGTGGAGAGTCCCTAAATCTGGGCGTCTCAACCATTTGACCCTAGAACTGAAGAAGCTTCTCGGATGAGAGGTGAAACGTCTTCAAGCAACTTAAAGAAGTCCACACACCTTTCTTTCCAAGCTCCTTAGACTACGATGACCTGGATGACTGAGAACCTTCACAGACCCAACTCCTCGTAAACCGTGAACTATTGGAGCATTTAACTTAAAGTATTAAAACAAATAGCAATTATGCTGCATAAAAATATTTTCTTGCGTTGTTATATGAATCGGTATTACTGCTGCATGTTTGAGCTTGAGCTTTAAATATTTTATATTCTGTCTAATCTCCTGTAATTTATCATATTCTGTAAAATTGTGTTTATAGTCGCTGTCCTGTGAGGATGCCATTTCTTAAAAAAAAAAAAAAAAGCAATTTAATGAGCTCACTGGGATTAAAAATATCAATAAAAAATGAAGTTGATATTTTAGCGAAACACTGGGGTTAAATTTAGTACGTCCAATCAACCAAGTGAATTCTCATAGCTGATAATCTGAAAGTGATGGCCGAGCCTGCACCTGTGCAACTTGTCTGCTTTATTAAACCAGACGTGGCAGGATTTGACGTCCCCTCTCCATCATTGATGCTTTCTTTGCTGTTGTGCTGAAGGAAT